ATAATATTATTATAAAATTAATATTACTGACACAGACTGTAAGCACTTAATACCATAATGGCATCAAGAGAGCTAACAGCTCCATCTGGGTAGTGTGCTGGGCTGGCCTATTCACCAAAAGACAGAAACTTAGCAAGCTATGTAAGAACAGACACAAAAACTGTATCTGAAGCTTACACGCACAAACACTTAACAGTGACCTTGAGGTGGTGGTTCCAGGCAGTAGTGCTGGTTAGAAACCATTCAGACTGGACTTCTGTGGTTCAATGGCCCACAAAGAGACAGAGAGTCTCAAGTACAGTGGTAGTTTTGACATTTGGGCAACAGTCCTGATGGGGATTGGCCTGAGATCCATGAGCTAGTCTGAACACAAGGCTGCATATCAGGCTATGAAAATGAGAGGCTTTCATTCTCTGTAATCTGCAACTGAACTGGGTCCACTGAACTGAGGAATGCTTCAAAGTGTCTTCCTTAATGTGTCAGTATTCTCAGCTGCCTCATCTTCAGCTTTTCAAGAGTGATCTGGTAGTGAAAAGCCTCCATTACTCTCATATCCAGACTTGATTTTTTAATCTTCCCCAGGCAAAGAGTTACAATCTGGGGGAGAAGCAGAAGAGAGGTGGTGGGCTCTGCCTTTGCTCTAATCACTTTCACATTGTTTGTCCAAATGTGATCCTAGAAGAAGGCAGCGGCACTGAGCACCTTGTCATCTTGCATGTAAAAATTGGAAATTTGAAGATCAGAATAATGTTCCAGCTACAATATGGATTATTTCATATTTACTGTGCATGAGCAGTTGGATGCAGATTTCTTAATTTTCTGTCTGTCCGAGTCATTGGTGACTGTGTCTCCCATAGAGCAGAATTGTTCTTGAATTTATTCTGGTTATTTTATAAAGTATTTCATAATGCAAATTATGGGAAACTAAAAGAAGAACTGACCTAACTTATTAACTCATCATAATGAATATTCAATTATAGTTAATTGTTAAGCTTATCTCTTTGCAATTTGTCCTTCCTCTCTGTTGTTCCAGTGCCCTCTGCTGTCCCTATGATGCATCAGGTGAGTCGTACTACCAGTAGCATCACACTGTCATGGCCTCAGCCAGACCAGCCCAATGGGATCATCCTGGATTACCAGCTATGCTACTTTGACAAGGTGAGCAAAAAGTGAGGCATTGCTATTATATGTTGTATAGCTATTATGCAAAAGAGAACAGGGAAATCTTCTGTGTGGGAGATGTACCCCTGGATCAGGATGGATAAGGCGGAGAAAAATGCTTAAATTATGAGGGAAGAACAAGCTGTAGCAAAACCAGAAATTCATAATATACACTTCATCTAACATGAGTCCATCTCCATTTCCTAGCTTGGAACCATCTAGGGACGATGCAGATAAAAAAAAAAAAGAGAAGACACTTGTAGCTAAGCTAAAAAGCCATGGCTAACAATGTGATAAGTTTAGCACCAGCTGACACAGGTAACAGTGGAAGGAGCTGAAGTTTTCAAACTTGCATATTCTGTCATGTTTTTATGAAGAGAAATCCTGTGTCCCTATTTATGCCTGGACAGACATCTCTAAGAAATTCTGGGAGGAAGAATGAACTCTTTCATTCACTAAGTGACAGATATTAATCAACTATTTATGTGCTGGAATTACAGGGTGGCAAATATTAAGTTGTTCTCCATTCACATCTTTCATGACTCTTAATCCAACTGATTTGAGGGAAGAGGTACCTGGGGCTGTTCAGACAAGCTCCTGTTCCATATTCTTGATCTTTCACATAAATAATTTTGCAAGATTGTGCAGGGCTACTGCTTTTCTAGCAGTAAAGGGGCCTGCTATTTGTAATAACGTGTTTAGCAGCTTCCTGGATACAGCATTACAGGTGTTCTTGCTCTGGATTCTCCTAGGAGAATGCATGAGTTTGGAGCTTATAGAAAGCAATATTTCAGGACAGGCTAGGGCTTTTTTAATGGATATGCTTAGCAAGGAACTGCAGGGCAAGGTAAGTTTAGTCTCTCACTTCTGTTTAGGTCAGGACTGAGGGTCTTTGGCAGAGCTTTGTGGTAAGCCCCGACCTAAGGGAATGAAAAGCAGCAGTGAGGAGCAGTGAGTAGCATGCGAGGAAGTCAGATCTGGAATCGCAGTTGTGTCTGGGAGTCTCTGTAACAGATGATGATGGGCTGATGTGGAACTAACATTCCTTGATAAGGAGAGCCAGCGGTGTGGGCAGAAGTCTCACATTCCTTTTTGGTCACTGACATTCACAGGCAGAAGATGAGGATAATTCATTCACCTTGACTAGCGAAACCAACATGGCCACCATATCTAATCTGAGCCCAGGCAAGATCTATGCTTTCCAAGTAAGAGCCAGAACAGCAGTGGGCTATGGCCCATATGGTGGAAAGATGTATTTCCAAACTTCAGTGGGAGGTACGTGCTACCATTATGTGCTCAGACCTGCACATGACCATCTTTCACTTGTGTGTGTCCCTGAGTGTATTATCTTATGCTCTGGAGGACTGCTACCAGACACTCCTTCTCAACTTGTGTGTCTGTATATCATAATTTGCAGATGCAGATTTGTTCACTCAAAGAAGCTTCATGCTGTCAGAGCATATTGTTTACACTCTCTTAACCTTTGGTACCTCCCTGTTCCCCTGTCTTACTCCTTGTTGCCTCTGACCAGTAGGAGCAGAGTGTGTCAGCAGAACTCTCTTTAGGAGAGTGTTACAGTACGTAGCACTGTACACTGCTGTAGTTTGGTCTCCAGGTGTCACAGGACATCTTACAGGTGAATGCTCTGTGAAAGTCTTAAAGACAGGTGGGACACAAGACATATGCAGAAGCTTTTCTTCCAGCAGTATCACCACACATTCATGCAGAGAGTAACATGTTACCTTGTGATACTCTTTGGTCTTGATCAGAGGTACTCATGTATGTCATCTACAAGCTGAATTAATAGGGGACAACAAGATCAAAGCCCAGGTGTAGAGCTACCCTATACTTAAGTAGCTAGTCAGGTGTCAGTGGACAGAGGAAGGAAAAGTGGATTCATAGGGAGCACTGGCTTTTCAGAAACAGGAAGACACTGCAGAATCACAGTGACTGAAGGGGTAAAGGGATAACCAAGTCAAGCATTTGTTGAACTGTCAGGACTAGCGTGGGAAGCAAAGGGCTGGTAGGGATGGAATTATGGGTGAGACCTAGGTGAGTAGAAGGGAAACTAACAGTTCCTGTACTTTGCATTTGTGTGTGTGTATGCGTGTGTCTTCCTTGCTAGGGGAGCGCTCAGAGATGATGCAGGATCGACTGCCGCTTATCGTGGGCTCAGCACTTGGCGGTCTAGCGTTCTTGGTAGTTGCTGCCATTGCCATCCTTGCCATCATCTTCAAGAGGTGAATTCCTTGACCTGCTCATGTGCCAGTGCCTGCACTGCAGACAGTGGAACTTTCTTACCCCAATAACATAACCCTGTCCCAAGGGAAGCAGCCTGATCTACATTTATCCAGTTGTCCTTGAGATGCCATTTTCTAATTAAGAAAAAATCTTGCCCTATTGCTCCTATCTGTGGAGCCTCTCCTTTGGTAAACTGCTCAAATACTTAGCTGATATTTGCCTAGTTATCAATAAGAACACAAGGGAAGTGTTTTAAAGCTGGTGCTCAAAAGGTATTTAAATCCATCACTGTCAAGAAAGGACTGTGAATTACATTTTAGGAAACAAGTGGAGAATGAAACAATGTAGTGAAGAAGGACTGGTGGAATACGTATTTAAATCCACTGATTTAGAAGGTGCTAAATACCGTTTAACCAGGGACCAAGAGACCATAGCTCATTTGCTGAAGAATGAAAGCTGTACAACCCTAGTGCTTCCGTGAAACACTGACTCATAAAATGTAAGCTAAAGAAAGCAATACCACTTCCCATTTTGGGAAGAAAAAAGGGCAACTAAGTCAACGCAGAGATAATCTGTTATGGCAAAAAAGAGGGACCAATTTTAAAAAGAAAGAGAGAAAAGTAAGGGTCACTAGCAGAGCTGTGTAGAGGTACAAAAGTAAACAATGAGGGGTTTTTTATTTGAAGAAGAGAAATATTCATTACCCCCTCCTTGAATTTACTGAGGTTCGAACTTAATCCCATAGATTGTCAGTAATGGATTTCTGTGTCTCTGCTCTACTCTCCCTCTGCATAAAAGGGATTTTTTAACTTTTTCTGATGATCTAAAAAAATGTGTAAACTACTTAATTTTAGAAAGTGACATCTAGTTTAAGTTATTTATTTTTTGCTCTCTTCCCCTTTCTACATTTGTTTTCTCATTCTATGTATATTCTCTTAATATTTTTCTTTCTGGAAAGAAAAGAATTATCAAATATTGTTATATTTCCATTGTTACCTCCTTTTGTAGCTTTGAACTGTTAAAATATAATTTCTTGTTACAGCTGGAAATGTGCACAACTCAATAAAGTGTGTGTTTTTCCTAAAAAACAAAACAAAACAAAAAAAAAAAAACCAGAATAAATTAATATTGCCAAAACTGTATTGGGGAAAGACATTAATGGGTTTCTGTAAATGTATCTACATAAAAGGAAATATTGTAAAAAATCGATTCATTTATACTTGAAGGACCATGTGCAATTAATAGACACTGATTCATAAAAAGTGGATATACCAAATTTCTATTTTAAATTTGTCCTTGGTAAGAAAAGTAAGTTTGAAGATGTAGGAAATAAGAAATACCAAATGAAATGAAGAGTTCTTTAAAAGGTTTAGTATACATAGAGTCAAATGCTATAACTGAACTTGTTTTTGTAAATTGTTAGTACACATTGTCTAGGCAATATGCAATGTGAGACACTTACCTATTTTAGCTAGTTGTTTTTTTAAATGATGGAAACCATTAGTATGTCAGATAACCTACAAAAAACATGAATGTAGACCTGACTTTCACATGCAATAGGAGAGTTAGAGTTCTTAGGTACAGACACACAGTAAAGCCAATTTCTTTCACAACAGAAAGAATAAATTTTGAAAGTAGAAATATCTGTGGTTTTGAAATCTTAGCAGAATATAAAGAGGTAATCCTGACAAGTAAGCATAATACACAATCTTTCTTGTTAGAATGATAGTTCTGTTAGTAAAGAAAAGTAACATAATGTTCCATGATACTCTGTCTTCAGATGCTAATTGAATCAGCAGATAGAAGGTCTTGTGCTGAAACAGCAAAGCATGTCACACAAATCCATTCAGGAATACAACAGGATACCATAGGGTTTGCTTTACAATCTGGTCTAATTAATATGATTTAGAAAAGATTGTAAACTAGCGTGAATTGTACATTTTTGGAACAAAAAATAACATTTTGGAACAAAGGACGTGACTTGGAAATGGAAAATATATTTAGAGCAAACCAAGAATAACAACTAGATCATGTGGGAAAAAATTGCTTGAATCACACACATTTAGGGGGAGAATGAAATCTGAGAAACACCTATGCTGAGAAGGACCTATGCTTACTGAAAATTAGGTGCATATATGCAATAAATATTAGAATAATAAAGACCATACCTGTTTTGATCTGCACATGTAAAAATCACATAATAGAACAGATTTCTGTCCATCTGTCTCTGTGTAGTTTGTTTTGGGTACCATACTGCTAAAAGAATAGTCAAAGTAAATGCTTTTAAGAGCCTCTGAGGAAAAATAAAGAGGAATTAATCTTTGGGGGAATTTAATACCTATTAAGCATTATAGTAAATGGCTCTTCGGATGTTTTTGAAGAACTTAAAAGGCATCACAGGAGGTGGCTTAGATTAGTATTGAAAAAAATAATTTGTAGTAACTAAATTAAATTTAAATGCAAATTTAGCCTGAATAGTGAGAAAACTTCCAAGACAGTAAGGTTAAGCTGTAATATTTTTCTTTCAGGGTAGTGCTGGAGGCCCTATCTTTTGTCATAGCTGAAGTGAGGATGCCAACAGTGGTGTAAAAACTACCACATAGAAAACAAGCATGCACTGGTGGTTGATCCTGCACCAACAGATGGGCAGGATCTTAACACTCATCTTCCATCTCTAAATTCAAGGATTCTCTGAGTCTTAAATTGAGAGCCCTACCCCAGCATCCTATGAGACAACTCATGTGTGTTTTGACTTTCATTTCCTTTATGTCCCACAGTAAAAGGCGAGAGTCTCCGTACACAGATCGTTTGCAGAAGTATATCAGTGCACGAGGTAAGTGTTCTTGAGGAACAGATGGCAAGGGTCTGTCTCTTTTCAGGACACATTAACACCCATGTCTCTCAGGATTTGATTCTGGTGATGTTTTGGGCTGTCTCCTCCACTGCAGGACTTGGAGTGAAGTATTACGTTGATCCTTCAACCTATGAAGATCCTAATGAAGCTATTCGAGAATTTGCCAAGGAGATTGATGTGTCCTTCATCAAGATTGAGGAGGTCATTGGATCAGGTAATGTGGGAATCTGCAGATTTTGATGTGCCTTCTTGTCCACCTTGAGACATGGCATACTACTGGCCTGAAATGGAACCAACCATGGTACATCAAGCGTCTCAGGATTGCTAACCTTCACTTTTACTAAAATTCGTGTTAACCATCTTATCCTTAGATGATGGCTCCAAACCAAATTTTAAAACACCACTTGAAGATTTAGAGCTCCTCATTTGAACCTTGAAGATACAGTCTCAAACCTGACTGAATTCAAAGCCTTCGTCAAGAACTTTACCTTAATCCAAGCAGTCCTAGTAACCCTGTTTCCAAGCAGCACCTGGAGTCTTCCGTAGTAGAATGTTTTAGGTCACCTGACTAAAATTCTTTGCTGTGTTTCCTTACTTGAGGTGTGTTTCTTCCCTCCCTGACAGGAGAGTTTGGAGAGGTGTGCTTTGGACGCCTAAAACACCCAGGGAAGCGTGAATATACAGTAGCTATTAAGACCCTGAAGTCAGGTTACACAGATGAACAGAGGCGAGAATTCCTGAGCGAGGCCAGCATCATGGGACAATTTGAGCATCCCAATGTCATTCATCTGGAGGGTGTAGTCACCAAGAGCCGACCAGTCATGATTGTCACAGAGTTCATGGAGAATGGATCACTGGATTCCTTCCTCAGGGTACCACAACCGGAGTCTCCCACAACCATTACCTCTTCCTCTTGCTGTGTGCCAGTCCCAAATGTGCTAATTTTGCCTGTCCTTCCTCTTCACTCCTGTCTCTTCAAGTCCACAGTTGCCCTCTTCAGGTGCAATAGGAATAATAGCAGATTGCCAGAGTCAACATGGTTAAAATATTCCAAAAGCTCACCCATCATATACATTTTCTTCATTATTTTAGACCCCTCCAGCTCAAATAATTAATGGCAAACAGTACTAAATTGTTTATCTTTGTACAGAGCCTTCCAGTTCCTTATGTGCATGCTCCAAAGTTTGCCTTTGTAATGATGTTTTTCAGACTTTATTCCACTGTATGTTTTCAAGTTTCAACATTGTAATGAAGTAATGAAACTTGTAGTTATTTTTGGAGTCAGGGTTTCCAGTGTTTTTTTCTAGTCATGAAACATAAATACAGACGTTTTTGTAGCATTGTTGCTTCACTTCTTTTTTTACTGATTTGAATGGTAATTCAACCACTAATGCTTTGTCAGGTACAGTTTGAAGAGCAGTGAACCCATTATGTAGAACTGAATAGAACCCATTGTAAAGATCAAAACAATAAGAGCAGATTTAATAAGAGCACAACTAATCAGAGGGCTGGAGCACCTCCCCTATGAGGACAGGCTGAAAGAGTTGGGGTTGTTCAGCCTGGAGAAGAGAAGGCTCCAAGGAGACTTAATAGCAGCCTTCCAGTACCTAAAGGGGGCCTACAGGAGATGGGGAGGCACTCTTTATCAGGGAGTATAGTGATAGGACAAGGGGTAATGGGTATAAACTAAAAGAGGGTAAATTTAGACTAGACATTAGAAAGAAATTTTTCACTATGAGAGTGGTGAGGCACTGGAACAGGTTGCCCAGGGAAGCTGTGGATGCCCCATCCCTGGAGGTGTTCAAGGCCAGGCTGGATGAGGCTTTGAGCAACCTGGGCTAGTGGAGGGTGTCCCTGCCCGTGGCAGGGGGGTTGGAACGATGATCTTTAAGGTCCTTTCCAACCCAGACCATTCTATGATTTTATGATTCTATGATTTGTCTGCTCCCATTCATTTAGCCATCTTAGCAGTTAATGAGACTAGGCACAGGAGGCTAAAGGAGCATATGGCCACAAGATGAAATTTATCTTCAGAAAACGATCACCAGTGTCTGACTTCTTTTGAGATTCATTGCCTTAAGCCCACCCTCCTTTCTTATTTGATGTTGCTAAACCTTCAGATTTTGGCTGAAGTTAAGATGTATGTTCTCTAACTTCATAAATCAACCTTGTTACTTTGCTCTCTGTTTGTCTTCTCTGTTGGCTTCATGTTCTGTGGTCATAAAAGGCTATGTTTGCCTCCTCACTTGCAGCAGAAGGAGGGACAATTCAGTGTGTTACAGCTAGTGGGAATGCTACGGGGGATTGCAGCTGGCATGCGCTACCTTTCAGACATGAACTATGTGCATCGTGACCTGGCAGCACGTAACATCTTAGTCAACAGTAACCTTGTGTGCAAGGTGTCAGATTTCGGTTTGTCCCGTTTTATGGAAGATGATGCTTCAAATCCCACCTATGCTGGAGCTCTGGTGAGTTACCACTATGGAATGAGTTACTGAAGTGCTGCCATCTATAATTTTTCCTGTGTTCCTCCTTGATTTGGTGTACCTTTTTTAGTCCATCTTGATACTAGAGAGACCAGTGGGGTACAGCCTTCTATCTTGTGGGCTATTTGTTCCAAATCAGACAAAAAAAAAAAAAAAACAAAAAACCAAAACAGAACCCTGAATATCTGATCCACTCTGCCATGTGAAATGGAGCCTTAGTGCCATTCTGCGTAGAATGATAGGACAAATCTCATAACCTGATATAGGTGTTATATTTCCACTTCCACTAGCTTCTTACATGAAGTATAAGGGATTGAAGGAGAGCCTGAAGTCCTGTAGCACCACCCTTTAAGGAAAGAGTTGCTTTTTTCCTGCAGAAAAGATAACTGACCTAAGTATATTTATGGGTTTACAACCAACCATAACTTAATGCCCATGAAGCTCTGACACCTGTTATATGTACCACAAAAGGGGTGGGAGTATAATAAGCAGGTTGAAATTTCCTTTTGGTATGCAGGGGATGAAGAAGAATTCAGTCACTGAAAAGTGAAACAAATTTTAGATGTATGTGTTTTGAAGAACCAGCACCTGAGTTACATTTCATCTGGCAGGTCACACCTACGGTCAGAGAGGTCAAGATGGAAACAGAAAGGAGTTAATGCTAACCACTCAGTGTATCGGTCCTTGGTGTTGCAGGTTGGGATTGTTTAAATGGCTTTAGATTTCCCAGGGGTTGTGGCTTTCAGAAGGATTTGACTGTCTGCCACCTCTCAAATGCTGCAAAGAAGAGCTATAAAAGTTAAAATCGTCAGGCAATTTGTAGCGGCAAGGAGGCATGGGTCTGTTTTCTCGTCTATATTTTTCAATAGAACAAGGTGAAAACCTTCAACATAGTTTGAATTTAAACCAACAATGTCTACAAGGCAGCATTAACTGGATTCACACTCCATGCTCAGAGTTGTGTCACGCTACTGGCATCTGGTCAGTTCAAGGATATGATTTTCACAAATAGTGGTTATCTCACTAACATTCTGGTTGCTCTCTGACTGCTTTCTAGGGCTGCAAAATCCCCATCCGTTGGACTGCCCCTGAAGCTGCCCAGTATCGCAAGTTCACCTCCTCCAGTGATGTCTGGAGCTATGGCATTGTCATGTGGGAGGTGATGTCCTATGGTGAAAGGCCTTACTGGGACATGTCCAATCAGGATGTAAGTTTTAGAAGTTGTGAGAATGTACATCTGCCTCTCTGTCCTGTATCAATTAAAGCAGAAGAAAGTCATACACCACCAAGCGATTGAAACTTGTTTGTCTTTTATTTTCCCAGCTCTGATAAAACTTCTTTTCCTGCAGGTAATTAATGCCATTGACCAGGACTATCGCCTGCCACCACCCCCGGACTGCCCAACTGTTTTGCATCTGCTGATGCTTGACTGCTGGCAGAAGGAGCGGGTCCAGAGACCCAAATTTGAGCAAATAGTCAGTGCCCTAGATAAAATGATCCGCAAGCCATCTGCCCTCAAAGCCACTGGGAGCAGCAGGTGAGATGTGGATTTAGTGCAAAGTAATAGGGCTTGTCTCTGGGTAGGCATAATGAGGAAAAGCAAGCAGTAAATCAGGCTATACAGTATGTTTTCCAACCCTCTCATCTAAGACTGTAACCAAATAGGAAGAAAAAAAAACAGGGGAGAGAAGAACTGTATATCCTGATTTACTTAATGGGTGATGAAGAGTTGTGAGTGCTGAACGTGAGGGGAGATAAATCTCATGATGAGATGCACTGAGAATGAACATGAGCAGGAGGGAATGAAGGAAGGGACACATCTGGACAATATACACAAGATATTCTGTGATCACACAATACTGAGTGATCACAAGAGGTAATGAAGTAAGAGAAAATCTTAGTTTATGGAGGAAGGGAAATCTGTAGCTAAAACTAATTCAAATTTCAGCTTGCCTCCCATATTTTCCCAACTGCATTTTGCAGCCTGATGGAACTAGAGCCATGAGGTCAGCAAAAGAGAAGTTTCTAGGAGGATATATGGCTCCAAGATTAGAAGGCTGTTGGGCTGATAGAATCATAGAATGGTCTGGGTTGGAAAGGACCTTAGAGATCATCTAGTTCCAACCCCCCTGCCATGGGCAGGGACACCTCCCACTAGCCCAGGTTGCTCAAAGCCTCATCCAGCCTGGTCTTGAACACCTCCAGGGATGGGGCATCCACAGCTTCCCTGGGCAACCTGTTCCATTGTCTCACCACCCTCTCAGGAAATAATTTATTTCTAATATCTAGTCTAAATCTGCCCTCTTCCAGTTTAAGTCCATTACCCCTTGTCCTGTCATTCCCTGCCCTTGTAAAAAGTCCCTCCCCAGCTTTCCTGTAGCCCCCTTCAGGTAAGGGAAGGCTGCTATAAGGTCCCCCTGGAGCCTTCTCTTTTCCAGGCTGAACAACCCCAACTGATGATGGAATTATGTCCTGCTGGCCAGGAGAGTTTTTTCCCCTGGTTATAAAACTTGTCTCACTGCAATATACTCCACAGCTAGGGGAGGGGAAGAGTGCCCAGTCATGCCCAGTTTACTGAGAAAGGGCATGTGAAGAGTTATAGCATTGTGACAGACTCAGATGACAGGGAAAAGAGCAAATGCTGTGTATAAACAGTCATTTCTTTGGCCTTTTACTCCTATGCTTTTATCTGATGGGTGCTGGAGCTGAAACAACATGCTCATTGTCTCATAGGTTACTTTCTGATCCAAGGAGTGCATCTAGGAAAAGCAGAGCTACACACAAAAGTAGAACGTTGTCAGGTCTCATGTCTGTGCCTCAGAAACCTCACTGCAGAAATTTGCCCAGCTAGTAGGTCTAGACCCAGAATGTGTGGAAAAATCTGGAGCAATCAGAAGAGAATGTGCCTGATAGAGTATAGAATGGGAAGGAAGGATCAATTTCTTGGTCTTGATTGATTGCTTTCATGCAGAAAAGGGAGCACAGGTAGTCTAGAAACAGGGAATCAAGGCGAGACTTTAGTAATCAGGGCATGAAGAACAAATACCATTGTTCTGCTCTATTCTGTGCTCTTCAGAGATTGCGTTCTCTCCCTCTCATAACTCTGACCTTACTATTGTGGTCAGCTTGTTTGATAACTTGGGTTTTTAGAACCTGCCTCTTTTGCAGGCCATCTCAGCCTCTCCTGAGCAACTGTTCTGCAGATTTCCCTTCACTCAGCAGTACCCATGAGTGGTTGGATGCTATCAAGATGGGCTGTTACAAGGAGAATTTTGACCAGGCTGGTCTGATTACATTTGATGTCGTATCACGCATGACTCTTGAGTAAGTAGAGGGGCAGAGAGCAGAAGATACCGGGCGCTAATTTTTCCATGGAGAAAGTGAAAGCAGTCTGAGAAATATTTAGTAAGGGCTATATGGAAAATACATACACATGAAAAATGAGAGCGAAGCCAGAGCAAAGTAGCTACTCTTTATTACATCTTATTAGGGTCTCTGGACACCCTCCATAGAACTGTACATTTGTAATCTGTTTCTATAAGCACTAGTACTGATCCCATGACACTACATATTGTCAGTGCTGTAGAGAGACTGTTACATCAGAATGTTTGTGACAGCTGCCTTAGGTAATAACCACTTTCAAGATGTGCAGAACCAGGCATACCATATAATGGGTTGAAGTGTTATGTAGAAGACAGGAGTCACAAAAGGAACATTGTCAGAATCACATAATGGTTTGGATTGGGAGGAACCTTTATGGATCATCTAGTCCAACTCCCCCTGCCATGAGCAGGAGCATCTGTCAGTAGATCAGGTTGATCAAAGCCCCGCCCAACCTGTCTTTGAAAACTTCCAGGAATGGGTCATCCACAACTTCTCTGGGAAGCCTGCTCCAGTGTTTCACCGTCCTTCCTTGTATTCAGTCTAAACCTATTCTCTTTCAGTTTAAAACTGTTGTCCCTTGTCCTGTCACTGCAGGTCCTGGTAGAGAGTCTCTCTCCATCTTTTGTGTAATCCTCCTTTATATATTGAAAGGCCGCTAGAAGGTCCCCCGGGGGGTTCTTTTCTCAAGGCTGAACATCTCCAACTCTGCCAGCTTTTCTTCATAGGACAGGTGTTCCAGCCCTCTGATCATTTTTGTAGCCAGCTTCCGCTGCTTCTTTTTGTGTCATAACCTGCCATGTTCTGACAATACCCCCTCCACCCGCACATATTTGCCAGGCAAAATAAAACTTGTCAGCTGTTTCTCAAAGATACATGTACACATTGATTTGGACCTAAAGGGAAATAAACTGTGACTGTTCAGAACTAGAAGCCCATTTTAACACTTTCTCCATCCTCTGTTCTCTTGCAGAGATATACAGCATATTGGCATCACCCTCGCTGGTCACCAGAAAAAGATTCTAAACAGCATTGAGCTCATGCGAGCCAATTTGAATCAGCTTGAACCAGTTGAAGTGTGATGTTTACACCATCCTTACTCCACTAGACTCAAACTCTGGATTGGTTCTGGGGGAATTCAGAGGGATTTTCACTGTAAGAAAAAGAGATGTCAGTATGCTACTTGAAGACTTAATGCACCCAGAGACTGCACACTACATGTCCCATTCCATGAACAAAACAAAGCCTTGCTATGATTTGAAAGCAGAGCTAAATAACTGGTGGCAATCAAATGTGGCTGACCTCATACATTGGGAATGGGTTGGGGGAGGGAAAGTTATAATAACATGGGGAAGAGATGGAATGATAGCTTGGACAGATCACAAGCACCTGTTGCCTCTTTTCTGACAACAAAAGGTATCAGACAACTTTATAAAGCCATCAGCAGGCTTTAGCTGCAGCTGGGAGCCCAGCAAACCTACAAAGACGTAATAAAGACAACAAAAAATTACCATTTGTTCCAAAAGAATGCCATCGTGATATGAGGTTATTACTCAGATGGAGATAAGTAGCAGGCTATCACTTGGTATGCCAGCTTGGTCAAGTTCCAGTTAGTGCACAATATGGGGTAAGCAATAAGAGATGTCACCTGGTGAAGAGTTTGAGAGTAAAAGGCTCAAAATTCTATGCTCTTTCATGTGCAGTTCTTGGGTCTGCTCTGTGATCGAGGAAGGAAACTTAATAATCCTTTGTGCTGATGCAAGGAACAGCAAGTTCTTGGTGCTACACAAGTCTGTTCATGGGACTGCAGTAGAACGGAACAATAAGGATTCCTAGAATCCATCCTGCTGGATCTGCAAGTGGAGACAGAAACAAATAGGTTCTGGTCCTCACAAACCCATTATTGAGAGCAAAGTCATAATACTCTGATATTCTGAAATCCTGAGCACCCTGAATTTGGGTTTTGTTCTCTTCTGACCCCCTTACAGACATCGAAGAATGTGACAAAAAATTCTGAAGGCCTTTGCTGTTGAAAAATACTTGCTCTTTTTCTCACCCTAACCAGCTACATTAATTGGCACAGCTGGTTTGTTCCTGAAGAAAACGCAAACCTACAGTAGTCAACTCTAAATAGAAAAGTGGAACAAGGGAGGTAAAACCCTTTCACAACTTCTTGTCAAGAGTGCTCAGAGAAGAGTGACAGTCCCACAAGTCTCTTCAGTCCTTATAAAAGGAATAGCAATGTCCTTGGCATCAGCTATATAGTCTGGTAGAGGTGCGTGAGAGTGACGAGAGTGACAGAGCTTGTGTCCCTTCAGACGGACTAGTACCTGCTTAAGGTAAGATCTGCTTTGAGAAGGAGTGGAGCTTCAGGCCTGTATGTCTGTATCTATCCCTATGCAGGAGTAAGAAAACATGAAGCTGAGCTTGAGAGGAAAACTCATAAACTATACACTTGTCCACCTCACCAACACATAGGAAAGGAAATTTCTTCCACCTCACCACTTGTCCATTTCCTTCCACCTAGGAAGGGCAATGGAAATGGCCTTGTTAAATAAGACTTCGATGAAGATATTACAAAAAGACATATCTTCTTTGTGTCTAGAGAGGAAATAACCTTAGCTGTCCCAATTTGTGCCGATCTGTTGGCTCACTGTGAACTACATGTAAACTTACTGTATTCCTCCAGCTGTCAAGGTTAGAATAGCATGACTTCTTCAGATACTACTTGTGTACAGATTTAATGATTTCCTCAGTCAACCCAGCAATTGAAGACTGAGAAGCTACATATAGTAGTTATTGAAGAGTCCCGTAATATGATAGGAGGTGCTCCAGAGTAGTTGCACTAGAATAGCCAGCACAGTTCAGTCTCTCTGTTACACCATTAGAGCGACATTATTGTTTGTTGGTTTGTTTTTTGGGGTTTTTTTTTAGCTGGAGAGGGAGACTAGCAGTGCGTTCTTTCAAGATATAAAAAAGTCAATACAAAAACAATGCAAGGAAACAATAAAATATTCACAGCAATAAAAGAGAGTGTGAAGATTAAAAAAAAAAAAAAAACACATCAGATTAGAGTGAGTCCTATGCTAGAAAATTTGAGTCTGTTGTTTTTAAGGGGTTTCTACAGACTTGTAATATTCACAAATCCAGATACATGTATGCTGACTGTCAGCTCCACTTATAGCATCTGAGACTGAATAAGTGGTGTCTTCTTCAGAAAGCATATTGAGCACAAGTTGTTGAGGGGAATCAGTGGTCTCTAGCACCTTCCATACGTATTCACTGGAGGATATCAATGGATATATGCAAATTCATATATGAGTGTATTCTAGAAGTTCAGCAGACCATCTGGGGAAACACGACAGACTATGTTTTAAATGCCTTGGGTGGTCAAGATTGGTGGAGAAATTGGTGGTCTAGTTCAAATCCTATGGTGTCTTTTCAGCCTAGTGGAATCTTATAAGCAGAAAATACATTCTCTCTCTTCATGCAGTGGGAGACAAAAATAGAAGCCCTGTCTGAATCTCACACCAATGACATAGCCCCTTACGGGGAGCTGCAGTGAAATGAACTGCTTGGTGGTTGGAAATGAACTTTGCTTTATGGCAAAGTTGTTTTCACAGTCAGAGGAAAGGGATTTACTCGCTGTACCAAGGCAGGCAAGTAGTGATTGAACATCATAGATCTCTTCTTCCCCCTCTTCTAAGGCAAGGTTGAAATGCGCCTATGATAATTCCAAGGAGTCAAGTGTCAGGATGTCTGGGCTGTGGCTAGAGCTGCACAGGGACAGGCTTGGGGTCAAAGATAGAGTTCCAAAAGGTAACTGTTTTCTTGAAGAAGTCTCTCCATTCTGTTTATTCCCAGGGTGTTCCCTGATTTCAGAATACTTATCTTCTTCCTTAATTTGGGATGCAAAGGATCTCATGTCACAATGCATCTTGTGCTATTTGTCATCATGTTGGTCCTCAACCGTGCAAGCATGGAGAAAAGGCAGTCATGGCAAAAAAACATTAGAAATATCCTGGTCTCACTTTTCTCAATCTTATGTGAAAGCAGAAATCCTATATTCTGTTTCCACAGACATCATCCGGGGTGTCTTGCAGTATATGACCATCCTCAACAGATAGGTATGAGAATCAGGAGGGAAAGGATTGAGGCTCACCTAGGCACCTGGTGTCTGTCCTTCACCAGAAGAGTGAGAAATAATGCAAAAAAGTCTTACAGAGCCATATTCTTTGCCAAAGAAGCAAGGGGTTATTAACAAGTTATTGCCCATGTTTACTTCATATGGTATCTATAATATGCAATGCATAAGAAGAATGAGTAAATTAAATGCACAGATGTCAATATGTAGACCTTCATGAGGGCATTAGGCATTTGTATGAAAACTCAGTCATACCTACAGTTGGAAATAATATATTGCAAAGACTAATAGCTCTTCTGCTTGAACACCAACTTTTCACTATGTGGAAACAGGAAGAAACTTGTGAAGGGTTAGCCCTTGGCTGGGCGCCAAACCACACACACCCACTCACACAATTCCCGCCCCCACCCAATAATAGGGGAGAGAATTAAAGGGGTAAATGGAAAAGAGGATTCGTGGGTTGAGATAAGGACAATTTAATAACTAAGCTACAATAATATTAAAAATAATACTATATTCAAATATACAAATGAGTGATACACAGTGGTAGTGGTACTGCCCCCCCACCTGATGACCAAAGGCCTAGCCGGCTCCCGGCCAACGATCCCGGAGAAGGGAGAGAATGAGTGATACACAGAAATACTGCCCCTCCACCCCCCCCAACCCGATGACCAAAGGCTCAGCCTGTTGCTGGCTAACGATCC